GCCAAATGCCCTACCACTGTGCTATTGCTCCAGCCCTAACACACTTAGTAATACTACTTTTTTTCTATATTTTTTTTGTCTATATTCTCCAACTAAGAAGACTCAGGCCTCTTTGAAAAAAATGATTGGTTTCATATCTGGGGGTTTATATACAGGATATACAGGCATTCCATGTCTAGAGTATTATGTATAGGACATCTTGGTTTATTGGAAAACAAGGACTTCCTCCCAAACCACTCAGTTAATTCTAAAAGAACAAAGGAAATGAGTCATCACTAGCCAAAGATAGAACACTATGAGCATTGGAACAGAAAAACAGGGCTGCGGGGGGAAGTGGGACTGGAGAGATGGTACAATGGGTAGGGCACTTGCCTTGCATATAGTCCATCCAGGTTGGATCCTTGCCAGTTCATATTAGTACCCCCACCCAGTGAGGAGTGATCTCTGAGCATCTGTGCCAGGACTAAGCCCTGAGCGCTGCCAGGTGTGGCTCAAAAACAAAACAAAATAAAAAGAATAACATGAATGAAATTGATCAGAATACCATGACTGTATTTTTGTCTTTTTTTTAAATTTTGGGCCGCATCTGGCTATACTCAGTTTTTCTCTGGCTCTGTGCTCAAGATCACTTCTGGTGTGGCTTGGGGGAACCATATGGGGTCTGGGGATTAAACCCAGGTCAGAAGCGTGAAAGGCAAGTGACCTGTCCACTTACTATCTCTCCAGTGCCCGATGGATGTCTGTGTTTCTAAAAGATACACAAATTCAATATAATCATTAAGAAAAAGTTGAAATCCATTAGAATCCTAAAAGACCACTCAAGGGAAGAATTAAACTTCAGTTTTAACTTCTTGTCAAAGTATATTTAAATTAATGAAATAGTCTTAATTCATGAGGGAAAATTCTAGCTGATTAATAAATATAGAAACAATGATTAATTGGAAAATTAGCATTTCAAGCCCAGGAGCTTAGAGCCTAGCTTCTTAAAATGTGGGTCATAGCCCTAAATGGGGTCTTATAACTAAATATGGCAGTCAAAAAAATTGGCAACAGTGTAGGTTTTCTGGATATTCAACAACCATAAATTAATTAAAATCAGGGCCAAAGCAATAGTACAGGGGGTATGGCATTTTCCTTGCAAGTACCCAACCTGGCTTTGATCCGTAGCAACCTATATAGTCCCCTGAGCACTGTTGGGAGTAACTTCTGAGTTCGGAGTAAGGAGACACCTCTGAGCGTTGCCAGGTGTGTCCCCACAACAAAACAAAGTCAAACACTAAAGAATCTGAGTGCCCAGCAAGCACTACGAGTAAATGTGAAAGCACCACAGTCAGACTATGTGCATCTGTGTATATGCATGATATCTCTAATGGAGAAGTGGGGTGATCAGCCTTTCACAATCTCTAACTTATGAACATCGTCGTAATAAAGCAAAGGGCTGGAACGAGAGAGTTAATGCAGGAGTTAAGGTGGTTAGGACCGCCTTGCACACCCTAGTTCTATCCCCAGCATGACTGACTTAGCCCCTGAACACAGTGGGTGTGGCCCAAACAACTCCCAGATAAATAAAGTAATGAACTATGGGTAAACCATAAAAGTTTAATGTGAAATTTTACAGGGAGAGACTGTTTCCACAATAGATCTCACTGAGCAGAGAGTGCCACTAAAATTGGGAAAATGAGCCAATACATGACTTCTTAGAAAGTGGGGCTAGAGCAATAATACAGAAGGTGATGCGCTTACCTGGCACATGACTGAAAGGGATATGATCACTACAACACATAGACTCCCTGAGCTCCACCAAAGGACAGAGCCAGAAGTAAACCCTGAGCACAGTTGGGAATAACCAAGGAAAACAGAAAAGAAAGAAAACAAAAAAATATTAAGAGGGGCCAAGAGATATTACAGTAGGTAGGGTGCTTCCCTTGCACATAGCCAATCCAGGTTCTATCCCAAGCACCCTAGATGGTCCCTTAAGCACCACCAAGAAGTGATCCCTGAGCATAAAGCCAGGAGTGAGCCTGAGTATGACCCCAAAATCCAAATATATATGATAGGAACAACTTAAGTAACACTACCACAATGAAGCAAATGAATCCACAAAGTGGGACATTTTATAGGACAGCTGACCTAGTTTCTACAATAAGTCATTGTCAAGAAAAATATAAATGGACAGGCAAGCTGTCCTAGCATAGGAGATATATAATAAGACATACAATCAAATTTCATGTATAAATTTTGTATTGTGTTGTATACATTCTGATGTATTTTAGACAATCAGAGAAGTTTTATTCTGAACAGGGTATTAGATGATAACAAGACAAGTTGATTTTGTCAGGGGTGAAAACTGAGTTGTGATTATATAATAAATAAGTATACTTTGGGTTTTTTAGAGCTGCATATTGAGAGATGGGAAGAATAATGATACCACAATTTGATGTATAATGCTGACGTAGAGGAAAACAGAAAAGTATAATTGAGCAATGTGATAATTTTAAATTTTTATTCAAATTTAAATTTTATTAAAATTTTAATTTGAAATGAAAATAATTATTTTTAATTAATTAATTAAATTTTGGCTGCCGGAGCCCTGGTCTGGGCAGGGAGGGAAACTCAACCCACTCCCTTCCAAGTGGCCCCGGCGAGGACAGCCAGGCAGGGCCACATTCGCAGCTGCGCGACATCTTATTATCTCATTCTTACTTTGGACAAACTGGCAGGCTACTGAATATAACCTGCCCACACAGCAGAGTCTGGCAAACTCCCCGTGGCGTACCCAATATGCCAAATACCAGTAACAATGATGGATCTCATTCTCCTAACCCTGAAAGAGCCTTGAACATGGCACTTTTTATTTTTAATATGGCACTTTTTTAAAAAATCTTAGTGCTAGGACAAAGGAGACGTTACTGGCGCCTGCTCAAGGCAATCAACGAACAACAGGATGGTCGTGAATTAAATTTCAATTGTTTGAGTATTTAAATGTAAATAATTGATAATTTTTAAAAACCTTGTTGGAAGAGTATGAAAGCTCTTTACTCATTTCACTTTTGTGTTTGTTTTTAGGTCACACGCAGCTGTGCTCAGGACGTCAGTGCTGAGTGCTCTGCACTCATGGACCTCTCCCAGCAGGGTTCAGGGACCGTATGGGAAGTGAGGGATCAAACTCAAGTCAGCTGCATGCAAGGCAACCACCCTACTCACTGTACCCCCTCATTTCATTTATTTTTTTGGTAGGAGTATCGCTGTTTATTCAGCCATTGATTAGACTGATTGAAATGGGCATGAACTCCACCTTACTTTTTTTCCCTTTTTTTATAATTTTATTTATTGAATCACCGTGACAGCAGTCACAAAGCTTTCGGGTTTAAGTCTCGGTCATACAATGAAACACCCGTACCTTCACCAGTGCCCATTTTGCACCACCAAAAACCCCAGTATAACCCCCATCTTACACCCTCCCCCTGCCTGTGGAGCAGATGATTTCCACATTACTATCTATCTACTTTGATTACATACAATATTTCGACACCAGACCCAGCATTATTATTTGGAACTTTACCCCAATACTCAGATCTGCCGAAAAGGCAACAGTAGACAATTTGTTTTCTATTGCTGGTTATAAATAACATGATTTTGGAATTTCAAAATTTTAACAAATCTGAAGGGATTTCTGCCAAAACCTGCTGGATTGAATTTCTCTATTCTGAGATTTGTTCCTGAGTCTCTGGGATCATGGCCATTAAGCAGTTTGACCAGGAGCCAGAAGGGCCGTTTTTGGGCGGCGACTCAGGGTCTCTCGTTGGGGCAGGCAGGAAAGGTCTGACTCCACCCCCAACCTATGAGGCCCCACGTGTCTCATCACTGTGAGCCCAAACCTGACCATCCAGTGACCTCTGGAGGATGGCGGCCACCGAGCCGCCAGGGGGAACAGGCCAAGGCACAAAACCTATTCCCACCTGGGGTGGCCCAGCGCTGGTAACCTACTGTGAGATGCATTTCTGCCAAAAGCCACTGGGTTCCGAGATTTGTTTCTGAGTCTCTAGAATCATGGCCGTTAAGCAGCTCGATCAGGAGCCAGAAAGGTCATTCATGGGTGGCGACTTGGGGTCTCGTTGGGGTGGGGAAAAAAGGGTCAACTCCACCCCCATCCCGTGAGGCCCCACGTGTCTTATCACTGCAGGCCCAAACCTGACTGTCCAATGGCCTCTGGAAGATGGAGACCACCAAGTCACCAAGCGAGAGCAGGTGGAGGGACAATACCCTTTCCCCCTTGGGGTGGTCCTGCGCCGGTAGCCCATTGCAGGGACCAGACGCATCTCTGCCAAAGCCACTGGGTTCTGAGATTTGTCTCTGAGTCTCTGGGATCATGGCCATTAAGCAGTTCGATCAGGAACCAGAGAGGTTTTGCCTCCAATTACATAGCTGTGCCGGAGGTGGTTTGTGGGTACCTTCACCACAAGTTAGGTATGTGTCTCCCACATACCTAACTTTTGGCCGTTTACTTTCTTGATAAACTTTGCACCAAGTTTTTGGGGTCTGGCCAAAGGTATAGCAGCAATTTTGGGGTATCTGGAAGTCTGAAGGCACCATCAGGCTGTTGATGCAGTCACCTCACAGGTATAGATTGACCTGCTGGCGGGACCATACTCCCGACCTCATTTCATTTTTAAGAATGAATATTTTCACAACAAACTCTAGAGCTTCTTCAGAAAGAGAATGTGTGGAAGAGTGGGATAAAGGATAAATTTTCATTCCTTTCATTTTCAGAAACAGATATAGCACTTTGGAATGGAACAGCAGATATTATTACATTTTTAAAACATGTTTACTTAAAACGTGCTTATTAAAAACATTCTCTTGTCAGGGAGAGAGCTCAAAGGGCTAAAGCTCAGGCTTCACATGAAGGAACACACAGTTTCATCAGGGTTCTGCTACCTCGCTGGGAGGGATGCATCAGGTGATCTAGTAGACAATATGTCGTTTTAAATTTCACCAACATGAAGGGCAGCCAGTCAGAAAGAAGATGGACATGGGTAAGCAGTGTAAATAGTAACACTTTAAAGGAGAACACAGTTCAATCAATGTTCTCTCTTTGATGCCTCACCTGTTCTCACACACAGACATGTGGCCTCAGGGGAAAAGCTGCTGAGCTAAAGGACCTTAAGAGGCAGACTGCTTCAAAAACCTCCACAACCCAATCACAGCCAGGCTCACGGCCAATCTCCACAAGCTCGGATGCGCCTCATCCATGAATGAATTTGTTGAAAAATTTAGGTATGCGGGTTTTGTGACTGAAATCTCAAGGTTCTCATGGAGTCAGGAACTGATGACCTCTCCCCATCTTCCTGTTCTTTCATACCTGGCAGTCATACCCATGAACTGCCTCTGGTGCCATATAAGTTCATTAACCGGCCATGGTTCAGAGACTCACAAATAAATCCCGGAAGAGATCAACAAGTTGCAGAGATGCCTCCAGATCCCAAAGTCACCATCCAATTAAAAATTTAATTCCAGCTCGATCACCTTAGCTAAAATTTTAGAATTCCTGGAGCACAAGGCCACACCTCATACTCAACACCCCTAATGTACCAGGAGTAGCACACATTGGATAGAATGTAAAGTAGTAGGCAACCAATCTTGGTTAAAAACATATTAGCAAACAAGGCTCAACCTGTAGCAACATGTTCCTAATCTTCCATACAAGGGCTCAATAACTCGAGGGTGAGATAGAACAACCTTCACATTCTTCTAAGGAAACCTTTTAAAATCATTTTTAGAGAATTACTCATGACAAGCAATAGCACTGTAGTAGCACTGTCCTCCCGTTGTTCATTGATTTGCTCGAGCAAGCTCAGTAACGTCTCCAGCATTGTGACACTTGTTACTGTGTATGGCATATCGAATACTTCACAGGGAGCTTGCCATACTTTGCTGTGCAGGCAAGATACTCACAGTTGCTTGCCAGGCTCTCCAAGAGGGGTGGAGGAATCGAATCTGGGTCGGCCCGGTCGGCAACGTGTAAGGCAAACGTACTACCTGCTCTGCTATTGCTCCAGCCCCAAGCAATACAAAATAAATTATTTAGGGTCTGCTATTGGGCCAGGCTTGGGTGGTGGTTGGAAAAATTCAAAATAATGTTACTGGGAAGGTGTAATGGTGGTGGAATTGGTGGTGGAATATTGAATGTAATAAATTATTATTAATAATTTTATGAAAATAAAATAAAATCTGGGCTGGAGCAATAGTACAGCAGGTAGGGTGTTTGCCTTATACGCAGTTGACCTGGGTTCGATCCCCAGCTTCCGCTGTGGTTCCCTGAGCACTGCCGGCAATAATTCCTGAGTGCAGAGCCAGGAGTAACCCTGTGCATTGCCGGGTGTGATGCAAAAAAAAAGAAAAAAAGAAAAGAAAAAGAAAAAAGCCTGCCTTCGTAAATTATAGCACAGGAGGCTGGAGTGATAGCACAGTGGTAGGGTGTTTGCCTTGCGCACAGTCAGCCTGGCCGAGCCGGGTTTGATTCCTCCGCCCCTCTCAGAGAGCCCGGCAAGCTACCGAGAGTATCTCACCCACAAGGCAAAGCCTGGCAAGCTACCCGTGATGTATTCAATATGTCTAACACAGTAACAACAAGTCTCAAAAAAATGGAGATGTTACTGCGCCCCCTCAAGCAAATCGATGTACAACGGGAGGACAGTGACAGTGACAGTGACATAAACATCTGGAGTTTTGTGTGCTAACTTTACATGCAAAATTCAAGGACCCAGGGACCAGAGAAAGTACAGCAGGTAGGGCATTTGCCTTACCCAGAAACCTGGGTTTGAATCCCCGCACTATGGTTCCCCAAGTCGTGACAGATGTGATCCCTGAACACAGAATCAGGGTTACGGCCTGAGCACCACTAGGTGTGCCCCTCCTCGCACCAAAAACAACAGCAGCAGCAGCAGCAGCAGCAGCAAAATTCAAGGACCTACATAGGAACTAAACTATTTTCCAGTAATAACATCTCATGCACCCCCCACTACCAAGTACCTAGCCAGGAGTAGCCCTACTTGATGTGATCCTAGGCAACAAAAATAAAAACAAGTAAATAAGAATAAAATTACTCTCCTGGGACTTTCTGATTTAAGAAATCACCAGAATTACCCTCAGAGTGTGGAATTTAGGCCATACTCCAGTAGGACTCTGCTTCAGATGAAAAATTCAAATCAGCAACTTAATCAGAGACAGTATATCTAAGATCTTATTTTATTTATTTATTTATTTATTTGGTGCTTTATGAAGTAGGGAATTGTTTCCAACCTATTACAAAGAAAATACGGGGGGGGGAGGGGCAGCTTCAATTTTTGTTGGAAGAAAATTATCTGTTAAGCCAATTTATTATAAAAAAGCCAAAGCAAAATAAAGATTTTCTTTGTGAGAACTCGAGAACTCCCGGAGAGCCACATTTAGGGCGCAGTAATTGGGTAATTAGGGCAGCGCCTGGAGTGTGCTTAGCATAATGACTCTCCCACTCCCACTCCGCCTTCAGCCGCACTTGGGAGCCCAGCCCAGGCGTTCCCCTTCTCGCCTGCTCTGCCACGACAACACACACTGCAAGGCGCACTGCCCGGCTTACTCTGGCATCCTCTGCTCCCCAGCTTTGCTCTCCAAATAGTCTTGTTTGTGCGTCTCCTGACAGGAGGATTTTGAGCATCGTGATGTACCGAGTTTGTGTGTGGTTGCTTGCAGCAGGCAGGATATCTTTTCCGGTTTCTTTTTGTTGTTGTTTTGGGTTTTTTGTGGATAGTTTTTTTGTTTTTGGTTTGTTTTTGGTTTTCGACCACACCCTGTTGTGCTCAGGGCTTACTCCTGGCTCAGCACTTAGGGATCATTCCTGGCGGGGCTCAGGGGAGTTATATGTGGTGTTAAGGACTGAACCCTAGTCCACTGGTTGCAAGGCAAGCAACTTACCCGCTGTATTCCAGGCCTGGGTTTTTAAAAAAATTAGAAGCCACTTGGGACTGAAGAGATAGTACAGGAGTTAAGGTGCTTGCACTACACGAAGCAATCTTGGTTAGATCCCCAGCACCCTGCGCCTTTTATGGTCCCCCAGTAGCACCAGGAATAATCCCTGAGCAGAGTCAGGAGTAAGCCCTGAGCACAGTCAGGTGTGCTTTCCCCAACCCTCCAAAAAAAAAAAAAATAGGAGCCACCAAAAAAAAGTAGGGACCACACCAGCAGGGTGGCTGCCAGAACCAAGCCCATGGCATCAGGACTTTATACTTGCCGAGTTCGTTCACTGCCATTTATTTGAGGTACCAAAGATCATGATCCAACAAGGGACCCCATGCATGCAAGTCATTAGCTTTACTTTGAACCATACATCCAGCCCCTGCCGGATCCACCTTGATTGCACTCAATACAGTTTAGATTCCTTGCTAAAAGGAACTGTGTATAATTAAATATGATCAGCCCCAAGCACCTTTAGCATTTTGAAAAATTAATTTCAATCCTTTATAGACAGAGTGTTTTTTGAAATTTGGTGTTGATACTTCTTCAAAACAGTTTTCCCTTTACATCAGCATTGAGCTTTCTCGTGTTCTCAAGTCCCCAAGAGAAGGTTTACTGATGGTGCATGTTATTCAAAGAATGCACAGTTCCACTTTCTGTAAGCAGCATTTAACTGTTGTAAGTTGTAGTACTATTCGAATAGTTTGTTGTCGTTGTCGCTTTTTGGGTCACATCCAGCGACGTTCAAGGGTTACTCCTGTCTCTGCACTTCACCTGTCTCTGCACTTCAGGAATTACTCCTGGCCAGAGTTGCGGGACCATACGGGATGCCGGGGACTGAACCCGGGTCGGCCACTTACAAGGCAAACGCCCTATCCGCTGGACTATCGCTCCGGACCCCTAATAGTTTTCAACACAAAGTGCTTGACGTGAATTTGTCAATTTTGCCAGTGGCCACTCGACCCGGGTTCCAGCAAAGGAACTGCCTGAGGTTCTCTAGAGTCTTCGGGCTGTGTGACGTCACCCGTAGCCCCGCCCCGGGGCGGAGCCAATCCCAGCGCGGGGCGGGGCCGGCCAGAGGCGCGGCGCGCGGGCAGGCGGCCCCGCGGCCGGCGCGATGCAGCCGGCCGGGCCCTGCAGCCCGTGTCCGTCCCAGCAGCCGTCACCCGACTCGTGGCCGCCCGTGACCTCCGAGGAGGAGCTCTACGACTGCCTGGACTATTACTACCTGCGCGATTTCCCCGCCTGCGGGGCTGGGCACAGCAAGGGCCGGACCCGGCGGGAGCGGGAACTGCACACCAACTGGACGGTGCCCGGCGGCCACGAGCGCAAGATCGCGCAGAAGCTCCTCAACGGCCTGCGGCAGCGTCGCCAGCGGCAGCTGCAGCCCCGGCCGCGCACTCGGCTCACCTGAGCGCGGGGGCGTGCGCGACGCCGGGGCCGGTCCGGAGCTGGCTAAAGCCTCCCCCAGGCTCCACACCGCCACGCCCCCGTTATCGCCCTGACCACTGCTGCAAGACAAAAAAGGCTCTGCCTTTGATAACTGGAGTTTGGGCCGAATGGAGTAACTCGGAAAGACAGAAAATAACGTTTGACAAATGCAAGTGAGAGATTTCGGACTTAACAGACTAACTTGTTTGTTTTTGTTGGATTTCCTGCAGGACACTTGAAGGGCCATTGAAGTATTTTTTTTTCTGGCTCCACCTGTAACTTAGTGGCGGTCCTAATTCATGCTAGTCAGCAGTTCTTTTTGCCATCACTTAATTTGACTGTTTCAGTGTTAACGTACCGATTGTTAATTTCGTAGCAACCAAGTAGGCATGCCTTTTTGACGCTTTTAATTAAAAGAGAGGAGCAACAATAGCATTTTAACTCTTCTGGTTTTGTTCTGAGTTACTGTGGTAATTGAAATCTACAGTATCTTGAATTTTGTGTGAAGAAGAGGTCACAAGAATGGACAAAGAGAGAACAAAGATAAAAACGCGTACCAAATTTCAACCTATGTCACAGATTATTGTGTAGGAATTAGCTTTGTTTTCCAGTATAAGAATACTTTCAAATATAACTAGTTTGGAAACATGCTCTCCACCTTAGCCTTTTACTATCTACTTTTTATAATTCAGGTAACAGTTCCAGAGGTCACACGGCTAGTTAAAAAGGCCAGACATAATAGGTCTCAATAGTCTTCACTCTAGGGACTGTAGTGGGTAGGGCACTTGCCTTGCAAGTGACCGACATAGTTCAATCCCCGGAATCCTGCCTATGGTTCCTTGAGCCTTGCATAACACCTGAACACTGCCAGTTAATGTCCCAAAAACAGTCTTGGCTCTTAAGATGCATTCAATCCCCAGCACCACATATGGTCCCCTGAGCACCACCAGAAGTGACCTCTAACACAAGAACCAGGAGTAAGTGCTGAGCACCACCAGATGTGATCCAAAAAAGAAAAGAAAACTTTAATATCTACCCACATGAGCCTAGGCAGGAGGCTAATAGAGTGTCTTCATGCTTCTGATGTGCTAGCTAGCTTTTCCCAGAGCAAGTGATTTGAGTGTAAGGAAGTCACAGTACTGTTTATGACCTCGACTTCAAAGCTACACAACACCATGTTGCTTTTTTGTGTGTCTGGGGGTCAATCCCAGCAGCACTTGGCTGGAGCTCAGGTTTTGCTTTTAGTGTTATTCAGAGGACCTTAGATGCCTGAAATTCAGCCTGGGAGCACTCCTGCAAAGTGCGCCCTCCAGCCCTGTTTGCCTTCTCCACAGCCCTCACTTTTACTTTCCCCTATTCATTAAAAGTGATTTACTAAGGGGCGGGCTAGAGCAATAGCACAGCGGTAGGGCGTTTGCCTTACAAGCGGCCAACATGGCCGACCCGAGTTCGATTCCTCCGCCCCTCTCGGAGAGCCCGGCAAGCTACCGAGAGTATTCGATATGCCAGACACAGTAACAACAAAATCTCCAGTGGAGACGTTACTGGGCCTGCTCGAGCAAGTCGATGATCAACGGGAGGGCCTTTAACCTTTACCTTTACCTTACTAAGGGGCAGGACCCAGAGACTCAAATAAATCTCAGAAGAGAGTCACAAATTGCAGAGATGCCTGAAGACCCAGCACCAGGCTGAGTCTAATCCAGCGGAGAGCATGTATTCAAAATAGTTTTATTTGAAAGTATTCTTAGACTGGAAACAAAGCTAACTCCCACACAGTAATCTATGACATGGGTTGAAAGTTAGTAAACATTTTTCTTAAATTTTTTTTTTTTGCTTTTTGGGGTCACACCCAGTGATGCACAGGGGTTATTCCTGGTTCTGCACTCAGGAATTACCCCTGGTGTTGCTCAGGGGACGGTTTGGGATGCTGGGAATCGAACCCGGGTCGTCCGCATGCAAAGCAAACGCCCTACCCACTGAGCTATCACTCCAGCTCCTCTTCTTAAATTCTTCAGTTCAAAGATGGCAACTGAAAAACCCCAGAACCTAGTCGTCACCACACTCACGGCCAATCTTCACACACTTGGGACAAGCTTCACGCATGAATCTGTCGAAATACTCAGGTATGCGGGATTTGTGACCGAAATCTCCAGACTTTCATGGAGTCAGGGAGTGGATGACTTCCCATCTCCCTGTTCTTCCTGTAGCCTGGCAGTAACGCCCATGAACTGCCTCTGGTCCATATAAACTCATTAACGGCATGACCCAGAGACTCACAAATAAATTTCAGAAGAGAACCACAAGCTGCAGAGATGACTACAGACCCCAAAGTCAGTTAAAAATTTAACTTCAGTTGTATCACTCTATTTAAAATTTTAGAGGGGCCGGAGCGATAGCCCAGTGGGGAGGGCGTTTGCCTTGCACACAGCAGACCTGAGTTCGATCCCCAGCATCCCGTATGGTCCCCCAAGCACTGCTAGGGGTAATTCCTGAGTGCAGAGACAGTAGTCCCTGGGCATTGCTGGGTGTGACCCAAAAAGCAAAAAATAAAATATTTTTTAAAAAATAATAAAAAAAACAAAATAAAATTTTAGAATTCCTAGAGCATGCAGCCACTCAACATCTCATTCTCTAAGTCACTGATATACCAGGAGTAGCACACCACATTTGATGGGGTGTAACATAAAAGGCCACCAATCTCAATTAAAAAAATATATATATATATATTAGTACACAAGGCTCAACCTGAAACAACATGTTAGTAATCTCTTATACAAGAGCTTAATGTCTCCAGGGTGGGATGCAACAATCTTCACACACTTTCCTCTAAGAAAACGTTTTTGGATCATTTTTAGTGGATTATTCATAACGCAACACAAAATTATTTAGGATCTACTTTTGGGGCAATCTTAGGTAGTGGTGGGAAATTTTGAAATAATGGTGGTGGGAAGGTGTAATAATGGTGGGACTAGTGTAGGAATAAGGAATATAAAAAATTATTGTGAACAACTTTATAAAAAAAAAAACGTTACTAAATTCAGTCCAAACTAAGAAGGAAAGAAGAATTAAGCTTTATCTCTTGAAGGAAATGTCAAGAATTTGTGGACATATTTTATAATCACCTTAGTATGTTGTTATAGAAAAATGTTTTATTATAGAAAAATTGGAAAATATCAACAAGCAGAAAACTAAATTACTTCCTAGCCTAATTATCTAACCTAAGTAATTTAATTACTTTCTAACAGCATCATTATTTGGGTATATATAATTCCCATTTGTATACATATTTTCTTAAAATATAAATATACTATGTATTATCTTAACCGGTTTTTTTTTCACTTAATCCTGTGAGGATACCTATAATTTTGACTTTTGGGCCACATCTGGCAGTGCTTAGAGCTTGCTTCTGACTCTAAGCTCAGGGAATACTCCTGGTGGTGCTCGGGGGAACATACAGGAGGTGGGGATCGAACCCAGCTGTGTGCAAAGCAAGCGCCTTATCTGCACTTTCTCTCGCTACACATCTCCCCAATATTCCACAACATTTTAAATACCTGAATAGCATTTAAAATATATATATGTTATAATTCTATATTGTAGGACACTTAGTTTATTTACAAGTTTCTCCTGATTTATCCATTTGGTAAAACAAACATCCTTATAACTAAATTCTTTCTATAAGTTTTTACTTTGGAGAACCCGGCAGGCTACCAAAAGTATCCTGCCCACACAGTAGAGTCTGCCAAACTTCCCGTGTCGTACTCAATATGCCAAGTACCAGTAACACTGATAGGTCTCATTCTCTTAGCCCTGAAAGAGCATTGAATATGGGTCTTTTAAAATCTCAGGGCTAGGAAGAAGGAGACGTTACTGGTGCCTGCTCGAGGCAATCGAGGAACAACAGGATGATCGTGATCGTGATAAGTATGCTTATTTCTTAAATTCCTAGGCATGGAATTTTTTTATGGGGCTTACACTATTTTATTATGTAGAACAGCAGGTAGGGTGCTTGCCTTGCACAAAACCGACATGGGTTTGATTTTTGGCTTCTTATTTGGTCTCCCCAGCTCTGAGCACCACTGGGGGTGTGTGGCCCCAAAACAAAACAAAAACTCACAGGAGCTATACAAATCACAGAGTTAAGCAAACAAAAGAATTTTTCATTTTCTCTGTCATTCAAGAAAGCTCCATTTTCTGTCACCCTACAACCTTTTGACCTATGTCCTAATGGCACTGGTCACTCAAGGGCAGGAGTCAGCCATAGGTTAAGTCTGTGTGTGTTTATGTTGAGGAGAGGGTCTGGTTGTGTTCTCTTCCTGTTGTTTCTGTCTGCACAATGCAATTGCTCTTCCGGGATCCCTGAGATTCGCACCTGCTGAGTGAGATCCTTTCCCTGAAAAATAGGCTAAGAAAGAAGGCCATTTGGCCTGATCCTTCCCTCCACTCACCAAGCTCTTTGTCTCTGCTGCAGCTGAACTGGTATGTATTAATTAGTATAGTCTTACCTTAAAAACTAGTCCGAGGGGGCTGGAGAGATAGCACAGCGGGTAGGGCATTTGCCTTGCACACGGCCGACCCAAGTTCGATTCCCAGCATCCCATATGGTCCCCTGAGCACCGCCAGGAGTAACTCCTGAGTGCAGAACCAGGAATAACCCCTGTGCATCGCCGGGTGTGACCCAAAAAAGCAAATAAATAAATAAAAAGTCCGAGGGAATGTGGCCTGGCATACTGGTGGCCTGGTTGATTGTTCCAGTTTCTCAGTTTGCATTTCCTAACATCTTGGGAATCCATGGGAAACCATGTTTTAAGTAGCTAAATCATCCTAGAAATAAAGATTACATGGGGGAAGTTCTGATTTAAGAAAGTCACACAGCTAAAGAAACTTTGGTACATCTACACAATGGAGTACTATGTAGCTGTTAGAAAAGATGAAGTCATGAAATTTACATACAAGTGGTACAACATGGAAAGTATCATGCTA